CGGAAAAAAATTTCACCCAGGATGATGGAATGTCGGTCGGGGGGTCCAAAAAATAATGGTGGCACTTAAAAATTGCGCCCTCCCAAGGGGAGGTATTGTAATAAATTTTGTGTTCCTAAATAAACCGCGCAAATGGTTCCCCCCCAATTTTGTGAAACCAACCACCCAGGATGCTTATTGTTAATTTTTAGGCCTTCCGCCATCCTGCGTGGGGGGAAAAAGGTAAAAATATTTGTTTCTAAATTTCCTATTTCCTTTTATTTTTTTTTTAATTATCCACCTGGAGGGAATTGACCTTAAAAAATCCAACTTTCCCCATTGATTTTTTAGAGGAGGAGTTGGAAAGAGAAGAGGGGAAAAAACCAGAGAGAAATATTTGATGGTGAGAGAAAACACATTCGATTGGGTTTGCCTCCTGCACAAAGCCCCGACCGACCGGGGCCTGGGCCGGGGAGAAGCCTGCAACCGAGATATGGGCCCTTTATCAGAATTGAACCTCGGACCCTTCACCCTATCCATTAAACCAGTGGTCGGCAAACTGTGGTCTTCTCCCTAACCCCTAAGCCAGTGGGCAGCAAACTGTGGCTCGCGAGCCACATGCGGCTCTTTGGCCCCTTGAGTGTGGCTCTTCCACAAAATACCAACTTCTGTGCATGGGCCACGAAGTTTCAATCGCACTGTATGTGCGCGCCCGCACTGGTATTTTTTGGAAGAGCCACACTCAAGGGGCCAAAGAGTCGCATGTGGCTCTCCAGCCGCAGTTTGCCGACCACTGCATTAAGCCAAACCGCCTAGAGCTAGTTTCTAGTTCTTTAATTATGAGCGACTTACAGCATTTTCATGTTTGTTAAAAGGCTATTTCTATTTCCTTGGTCTGAGAACCATATCCATTCCCTATTTACATTTTTTGACTTGGTTGCTTTTTGTTTTACTAATATGTATACATTATTATTTGCAATATACATATTAAGGAATTTGGTCTTTTGTAAGAGGCATTTAAATTTTTTCATCCAGGGTATTGTTTGGTTTGATTTATAGGTTGCCTATGCAGACATTTTATTTTTTCAAATATGTATTTTTATTGACTTCAGAGAGGAAGTGAGAGGGAGAGACAGAAACATCAATGTTGAGAGAGAATCATCGATCGGCTGCCTCCCACACACCCCCACTGGAGATTGAGCCCCCACAACCCAGCATGCACCCCCTGACCGGAATTGAACCGGGGACCCCCTTCCCTCCCCTCCCAGTCCACAGGTCCATGCTTCATCCACTGAGCCAAACCAGCTAAGGCTGCAGACATTTTAAATGTTGGTGTGGTCAAATTGCTCCTTTGTACTAAGCCTTTCCCAGTTCAATATTATAGAAGATACCTGTGTTTTCTTGTATTACTTTCATAGCATCACTTAAAAAACACAATTGAAACAACAAACCAAAAAAACCACTATTTTTTTGACCCACTGAAATTTACTCTAATGAAACTAATTTTGGAATACAGCTATAACCTCATCACCCACCAAGTTGCTAGTCCCAACACAATTCCACAAAACACTCCCACTGATTAGCTTTGTGACCATTATATGTGCTAAATTCAGCTTTTCCTTCCAAGGCAGGATGAAAAAGCCTACCAGGATTACCTAGATGCTTGCATCCTCATTAACTCTCACTCCGAACAAATCAGGGGGTAATTCAGCAGCACTGATTCCTGATTATTTGGGCAACCTCCTCTCCCCTTCTCTCTCGAGACAGGGATGCAACTTGTACCAGACCACCCCTCTAGAGTCCCAATTTGCCCATGATGGTTAAGAAGCAACAAGGGTGGTTGAAAACAACACTTCCTTTATTTAAACAACCTCTTGTCCATTAATGTTTATAAGTACATTAAAGGAATACATTACAATTTTACTTTCTCTAGAGCAGGTTTTCTTACTATTGGCATTTTGGGGCAGATAATTCCTTATGCATTGCAGGATGTTTAGCTTCTACTCCCCAGATGCCAGTAGCATCCTCCCTTTTTTCTAGGTATGGTATTTATACAGGCAAGTGTTTTTTTTCTTTATTTAGAACAGGTATTTCACTTTTGCTTTTTCTATTATATAAGGTGTACACATCAAATGTTATAAAAGTCATTATAAAAACAATACAACTACAATTGAGCAGCACTTTCTAACTGGAGAAGCAAAGAAATTACACTAAATAACACTATTTGGCAGTATTAGAAATAAAATGACTAAAAGGGGTTTAAATTGACTAAAATGGGTTTAAATTGACTAACAGTATTAATCACATCTACTATTCAATACTACATATACATCATTCATGCAGCTAAAAGATACTTATGCAAAATATGTTAACAGCAAAGAATAAAACCAAAATTAAGATAGCAAACAAGCCGAGCCGGTTTGGCTCAGTGGATAGAGTGTCAGCCTGCGGACTCAAGGGTCCCAGGTTCGATTCTGGTCAAGGGCATGTACCTGGGTTGCAGGCACATCCCTACTGGGGGCTGTGCAGGAGGCAGCTGATCGATGTTTCTCTCTCACTGATGTTTCTAACTCTCTATCCCTCTCCCTTCTTCTCTGTAAAAATTCAATAAAATATATTTAAAAAAAAAAGATAGCAAACAAAACCTATATAACCTCTTTTTAAACAGGAAAATACTTCATGTATGTATATGACCGTTCATTCTCATAAACAAAATCTACAGTAAGGCCGAAACCGGTTTGGCTCAGTGGATAGAGCATCGACCTGCGGACTGAAAGGTCCCAGGTTCGATTCCGGTCAAAGGCATGTACCTGGGTTGCGGGCACATCCCCAGTAGGAGATGTGCAGGAGGCGGCTGATCGATGTTTCTCTCTCACTGATGTTTCTAACTCTCTATCCCTCTCCCTTCTTCTCTGTAAAAATTCAATAAAATATATTTTTTAAAAAAAGATAGCAAACAAAACCTATATAACCTCTTTTTAAACAGGAAAATACTTCATGTATGTATATGACTGTTCATTCTCATAAACAAAATCTACAGTAAGGCCGAAACCGGTTTGGCTCAGTGGATAGAGCATCGACCTGCGGACTGAAAGGTCCCAGGTTCGATTCCGGTCAAGGGCATGTGCCTGGGTTGCGGGCACATCCCCAGTGGGAGATGTGCAAGAGGCAGATGATCAATGTTTCTCTCCCATCGATGTTTCTAACTCTCTATCTCTCTCCCTTCCTCTCTGTAAAAAATCAATAAACTATATTTAAAAAAAAATCTACAGTAAGCAGTTATCAACTTCCATAAAAACCACACATAGGATTATTAAACATATTCCTAAAAGTATAAACATGAACATTTGGAAAATACAGAACTTTAAAAATTTGTAAATAGGTGAACTTGAATATGAAAAGTCCCATTTTAAGCACAGTTGCATAAGAGTCTTTTGATGTGAAGTCTATGAATTATCCTTTTTTGGGATCAAACTTGACAAAACACCATGTTTTCCAAATGATATTACAGAACAATGTAATCTTATACATATTTTAACCTTTTTCCACTTTTTTAACCTTTTACTTTTACTACTCTATTAAAACATGACATTTTAACAATGTAAACATATATTTTTAACTTTTTAAACAAATCTATGAAA